AACGGTAATTTCTACCGAGCAGTATTTTTTAGGAAATCAAGAAAGAAGTGTCAAACATTTTTTAAATAATGAAATAATGATTTTAATTAAACTTTCTTTAATGATCATGATATGTATATTTTGCCACTCAAAATATGACTTTTCAACCCCTGTTTTCAACCCTTAAAACATCTTCATTGCCGATATAATAATGTACGTATCAAATATTTTTAGCTCCTCTAAAAAATGCGCAAAGACTCAAGTCAATCGGCGATTGGCACTTGGGTAGTGTTACTTGTGAGTTTTAATGCATGAGATAATATTCTCTTTTGATTTCTTGAAGCCTTCTTCTCAGGTTCTTCAGAATCCTGCGTAAACGCATTGTCATTTTCCCCCACTACTTCTAGATTAATCTTTGCTTCTTTGAAAGTGCCTATTAAATAAAATATTGATAGAAAAAATTTAAAAATGAACAAATTAAAAGTTTAAAATAGTAATATCGGAAAACTGTATATTGTGATGCGCCGCCAAGAAAGCGACCTAAGAAGCAAATCATTTGAAGGTTATGATTGCATCAGTTTTACATTGATTAAACTTTTTTTTTACTTGTGTAACAGTAAAATCAGTTTTTATTAAATATTTTGGATGTAATGAAGACTTAAACATTAATGATTTATATTGAGAATTGATCTTCTTTGTACATTTTTATTTTAAAAAATTACAAACTTAATTACATTACATAACATTTTGGCTTTTTATGTCACTTTCTTTCCAACGTGTCAAGTATATTTTATCTAAACCCAGAATTTTTAAATTTCTGTATTTCATTTGGTGTATTTTCAGAAACAACAGTAAATTAATTTACTTTAACATTTTTACAATATAATATCAAAAAGGAAAGAAATTTAAAAATGACGAATATATAATTATTAATGAAGGAAAGGAACGACGAAGACTCTTTCAGGTCTTTTTTCTTCAAATGATAATTTTAGTTTTACTAGTTTACTTTTTACTAAAGCCAACGGAACAGTTTTCACTTGATTTGAATGCTCGTCTTTTAGCTCCCACATGTTCATGTATTTACCCGAATTAAATGGATATATAAACACAGGCTTGATTTTTTCCCAGATGTGACCCTCAATTTTAATACCTTCTGGACTCTCAAATATCGAATTGATCGTTAAAACGGAATCATCTTCTAGAACGATGGCATTATTTGGTGCAGAATTAGTTAAAATATTTTCTTTATATCTTATTTTTAAAATGGATCCTCTTTTTTTAGTAAAAACTTCGCAGCTAACGGGAACCGTCGCTTTCTTAAAAAAAAAGTTACGCTCAGAAAGACGTCTACATATTTGCTGTAACGGACGATAAGGAGTACGTACGAGATTTTTTAATTTGCACAAAAAATTCTCGAAAGAAAAGGCACTGATTTCAGTTAAATTACAATTCATAAAATCAACATCATCACTTAAATGAATCAAACAATGCGCATTTTAATTTTGAGATTTTTGACCATAAAGTTCTTTCAACGCTGTGAAAAAAGTTCTCAAATATTGTTTTGCCTGCTTTTTATATTGATGGCATAAAATACGAGAGCATAATAATCTACACGCAGCATGTAAAAGCAGAAAGTGATTGTATAAATCTACTCGCAATATTTTTTTCATAATAATTGGGCCACAATAAAGCAAGAAAAACCTGTATTCAACTGCTTTCCATTTTTTAACATGTTTCGTAGATCTTGCCTTCCTCTGAAATTCTGAAGGTATTTGGGAATATAAAACATTCATACGTCTCGATAATTCGTCCCTGGATGATACCCGCAATCGGAAACTCAAATCGCCAGCCAACCAATATTCTAACAATCTTTTCATAATGCCTAAACAACAAAGGTGCATAAAGTCTAATACGAAAAAGAAAATCATATTAATATGGGGCAATATTGTCTCCAATAACGATGGTCCATGATGGTGTCCAGTTTGCCGTCGATTTCTAAACGAAGCATCACTTCGTTCTCTTGCATCAACAGAAGAATATGTCATAGTGCGCTCAACGGATTCTCCTTCAACTTCACATCTCTCACAGCCATTTTTTGCAACATGATTTACTACATTTTTAATATGTGTTCTTGTCGGGAAATCGCATACAAAACCCATTACACGAACATCAAAGTGTTTGTTAGAAATATTAATTCCATCTTTGTGAAAATTATTAATTTCTCTAACCAATTGCTCTTGGTTTTGATCTCGATCAGGTTTGGATTTACCATAAAATAAAGAAATTGGAAATACGTCATAGACGTCGGGTTTAAAAAAAATTTTTCCTGAAGTAACCCATAAACTTCTGGCGCCAGATTTAGTTAAGGGTACACCATCGAAACTAATAAGTATTTCAATTACATCCGTATCATGAATATCAGTATTAACGCAGTTTCGAAGAGCATTTTCAATGCCAAAATATACAAATTCGCCATCTTTACTCATTGCATCCTTCACAATTATTACATTAGATAATACAATGTAGTAATACAATGATGGTACCTTGTACAATCTTTCTTTTTACTATCCATTTCTCTCAGTGTAATGTTTATTTCAAGTGCTTTAAAATGTTATTTAATCCATTCTGAACTAAACATTTTTTGTATAAAAAAAAATTTTTTTTTAACTTAGACAAATTTTTAAGCAGGGCAATCGCAAGGGTAAAGATCAGGAACCTTGCTGGTGCCCTCGTGTATTTCCATACCTTTGTACTTAGAATTTTTAAACAACATCACCTAATGTTTATTTCAAATGCTTTAAAATGTTATTTAATGCATTCTAAACTAAACTCCTTTTGTACAAAAAAAATTTTTTTTTTGAACTTAGAACAATTTTTGAGCAGGGCACCGTGAGGGCAAATAGCAAGGGCCCTGCTGGAGCCTTCGTGTATTTCCATAACTTTGTACATAGATTTTTAAAAAATACACATTTTTAACTTTCAAAAAATAAATAAATAAAATAAAGACCGAACTTAAAAAAAAGTCATCAAAATTTTTGATTTACAAAGTTACAGCCTGATATAACTAAAAAAACTAAAAATTTTTGTTTTTTATATTCTAAAAGCTGATAAAATTCTGAAAGAAATGGCACGTTGGCAAAGAGGATATATTAATTTTTCAATTAGATGTCTATAAGAGAAACCCAATTTTCAATGTTTTTACTATTTTTTTTATTTTTCTGTCCAAAATAATTATTTTTCAACGTTCATGAACTCATTGAAATGGTATTTTGTTATAAAATTCAAATTATTCAAAACAATTCATATCTGGAATTTTTTAAAAAATGGTTTGGAAAACCTATAAAAGTCATGGAATTTTAAAATCAATCTTTCGTGGCAACATTTATTATTATACATTGTTTTTTTAATAAATATTATAATTAATAAATAATAAATAAATATTAAATGATAATATCTAATGATTATTAAAAAATGATTTTAACAATAAACAATTATTATCTATTATCTATATTAATAAAATCAGACTTTTGTCTGTACATTGCTCCAAATTAATTTTTTCTTGCATAGTTTATCATTTTAAGTAGTAAAGATAACAAATATGCCATAAATAAAAATTCTGTCTGTCTATCTGTCTGTCTGTCTGTCGTCAATATTTTGTACCGGCACAACTTTAAAACGGCTCAACCGATTGAGGTGAAACTTGGCAGTGTATTCAGTCTTAACGTAACTTAAAATCTTAGCCATATTTGATTAAAAAATATTAACATGAACGAAAGTTATGACATTTTTTCAAAAAATTTAAAAAAATCAAAAAAATGCAAATTTTTTATTTTTTGTCAGATTGATTTGAAACTATTTGTACCTAATTTTTTCACATAAATACAATCAATTTTTTTATTAAATTAAGTAAATAGTCTGAATTTAAAAGTCTAAATCAAATTTTTGAATTTCCAATTTTTTTAATAACATTGTAATATAAGAATTCGTTATGTTCAACTTTTTATAAGTAAAACAATAATGTTTTTAGTCTGTTGGGTATTAAACGCAATCTTAGCTGCACACCAATGAAAAATATTAATTTAAACAAAAATATGACACTTTCAAAAACTTTAAAAAATTTAACATTTTTTATTTTTTGATAATTCTTTACTAAACGTTCTTTATTTAAAATTTTGTGACCAATTAAGTATGCTTTTAACAAGAAATTTTAAGAATTTTAATTTAAGAATTTTATCAGAATTTTAAAATTAATAATTGCAAATCTGAATATGAAATCAGATATTGTAAAAATAAAAAATCGAAAATTACTTTTTTACTCTTTGAAATTAACAATTATTATGTTTAAATTATTATTATTATTATTATTATTATTATTATTATTATTATTATTATTATTATAGATACAAATTATTTTTAAATATAATAAAACTAAATAAACTAAATAAACTTAAATATAATATAATAAATATAATAAAATTAAATTATTTTCATAATTACATCCAACTATACGTGTTCTCCTCTATTAAAATATCTTTTTATAAATTTTTAATTATTATTTATTCAATTCAATTTAATTTTTTCACTGCTTTTAATAAAATTAAAATAATTTAAAATTGTATTTAATTTTATAGTATTGAAAATAAAAATTATTTTAATCAATACAATTAAAATTAAAATTTTAAAAAACTTTAAAAATTATTTTAATCAATACAATTAAAATTAAAATTTTAAAAAACTTTAAAAATTTTAATTTAAATTGTATTGATTAAAATAATTTTTATTTTCAATACTAAAAAATTAAATACAATTTTAAATTATTTTAATTTTATTAAAAGCAGTGAAAAAATTAAATTGAATTGAATAAATAATAATTAAAAATTTATAAAAAGATATTTTAATACAGGAGAACACGTATAGTTGGATGTAATTATAAATTTCAAAATTTATTAAATCTAAATATTATAACCGTCGAAGACGGGTGCGACAGCTAGTAATAAATATTATAATTGCTTTTTTTGTAGGCTTGGAAGACATGAAATCGCGTCGACTAGAATTACAAGTACAAATTGAAGCCGAAGAGGATGAAAAAAATAATTTGCAGCGTGAGATTGAGAAAATGTCTTACAAATTAACGCGCATAAATGATAGTCTTGCCAAAAGAACAGCAGTTCGAAATGAATACGATCGAACAATTGCCGAAACGGAAACCGCCTATGTAAAGGTATGTTTATTTATTTTTAAATTTAAAACACTTAACAAAAAAATTATTAAATTAAAAACTCAATTTATTTGATTTATAATTTTTATTTGGTTCATATAAATATTTGACAATTAAGTAATTGCGCAGTTCACATTTTAAATTCATATTAAACTAAATTATTTTGTTGTATTAAATTTTTTGATTGTTTTCTACTAAACACATTTTAATAAATGTTTTTTTTCTCAATATGAATTTGAAACAAGTCTCAAAAATAGAATTTGAAATAATAAATTGTAGAAAAATTTTATTCAATCTTTAAATAACGACTGTTTCTATTGCAGATTCTCGAAAGCTCGCAACTTTTATTGAATATGCTAAAAAGAGAGGCAACAAGTTTAGACCAATCTCTTGTAAAAGCAAATATGGAAAAACAATGTCGACAATAAAAAAAAATAATGTTAGGTTTTGATAAAGTAAATATTTATTAAAATATTTTGTATATAATTATATAACTGACGCTAAAGATCAATAATTTCGATCGATTAGAAAAAATTGTATATATATAAATCATACATATGTCATGTTAAAAATATTTTTCTTATTTACATGACAAAAAACAAAATGAAAGATTTTTCCAAATATTGGAATTCTACGTATGCATAAATAAGAATTATTATTTTTTTTTTTTTGAAAATAATTCTCTTATCATTGTGAAGTGAAATGTCGCTATAATTGAAACTATGATACCTCTCATTATTATTTGTAAAGACTGATTCCACTAATGGAATATTGTATAAATGAGAAAGTATTAATTAAAATAGAATGTAATATTTTGTAAAATATAGTTAAATAGACTTTAAAAATTTTTTTAAATAAGTTGCGTTTGAAAGAAATTAAAAATGTGATCTTTCAATATAGTGACACAATTAAAGCAATCTTTTTTATTTTTACTACATTCTTATTTTTGTAGACCTACTACAAAACCATACCCTTTGGCTGGACTAATCCTCACACTACGGAAGTGCCGTCAAGATTTAAACGTCGTAGGTGAAGGTCTATTTATTCTTCGTTCGTGCAAGAGTCTTCTTGGACTCCTCAAGGGCCGTCCTTAAGACCCCGCATCCTCCGCTGCCTGGGATATAGCTAATGTTCGCCTTATCACCATACTTTTCTCTACATAAGAAGTAGCTTGGGCTTCTACTGCAGTTTGCAAACTTATGATCGACTTCACCGGACTTGAAGCACGCAGTCCATCAGTCCGCTTCCTTACAAACTCTTCCTATGTAGACGTATGCCAGGCACCTAACGATCATTACCCTTCTTTTGATTGGGCAACACATAAATCCAATCCTTATGCGTCCCACCTTCTCCAGCCTGTCCGCCTCCTCTGGGTCGGTGACTACAACCGCGAGCTTCATTACTGGTTGGTTGGGTCCTAGGATCGTCACCTTCCTGGCTTCTGGAGCACTTCCCCATGCTTCCAATCACTTTGGTGACCTCAGCAGTGAATGCCTCCTTATTCGAGTCGCCTCCAATTTTTATCAGAAGATCTCCCTTTCTAGTAGGCCTAGCGTCCACAACTTGCGTGTGGTTTTGTCTTCGTCTCACTAACAAGATCCTGCGGAGAGTCTTAAATCCGTCTTTAATAGTTATGTTGACATTCTTCTGAACTTCGGAAGACTTTATCATATTAGCGATCTCCTCTTCGATCTTCAATTGTCTCGTTGTTTAAGTTAGACGGAGTCACACTTTTTCCGCTGCTGATACTCGAAACGCTTGAAGCGCTTCTTCTGTGTGCCTCCATGGTCCATTCTCCTTGTGGCATTGAATGCTGCAGCACCCAAGGTGTCTAATACTACTGTCCTCACTGGATTTCGACGCTGGAAGCCAACTTACTCACTTCCAACTGTGCCGGCACTGGGGTATTTCACATATATTTTTTTCCTTACTTTACATCTTGGTGTTTGGAAGTCGTCCTTTAGTGAAAAGCCCCACCACAACGACAAGGTCTACCAAGAATTTACAAGACTCTTGGTAGCAGACAACCATCGGCAGGATTAAAGGTTCAAATTAAAGCTTATTCAATTTAGCGGGCCACCAGGTTGCATTTTTTCAAAAAAATTTTTGTTTGGGTAAGTCCGAGAGAGATGAAACACGTTTTTTCCAACCTTTGGAATTTTAAAAGAAATTAACATCGCAATCTAATTCAAGTGTAATAATTTAAATTGATTGCTTCTATATAATCTTGTTTAAATTATTTACTAATTATAATTATTTTGGATAATTGACGTAAAATGTTTTTTTTAGGTAAGGTAATATAAATAAACGTAGGAAAATTATTTTTTTGGCTATTTTTAACTGTTAAAAAATTATTAATGATATCACGACTTTTCCATTTTATTGAGATCAAATATGTTCCATCTCTCCCGATTTTCCGAGAAATGTAAAAGGCTCGGAAAAATAAATTTTGTTTATTTTAATCAGAGATTTTTGTGTAACAAAGTAATATCAATAGGGTAAATGTGGGTATTACCGCGATTTTGACGAATACCAGAGTTTTATTAAAAAAGTAAAAACATATTTTACAAGATATGTGTGTTATTTTTTTTTAAATTGATCATTGAGTATACTTTGTGTTAATAAAAAATTAATAATGTCATATATGGTATATTTTATTAAATAAATGACATTTTAAAAATTAATGCAAGTGCATACATTACCGCGATAACAAAACCTTTATGATTGATGATTTTTGTATAAAGATTTTTTTTGATCTAGAAATTACTGCTTTCTTTGGCCTTCTTTTGGTATTTCCCATATTTTTGTTGCTTATATTTAAATTACATTAAAAACTTAAAACTTTTTACATTTTTGTTATATGACAGTGAGTAAATCAGGTTATGTGTCGACAATTTATAGGTTAGGTGTACAGGCATGTTTGCATGAGAAAGGAGTCGCAGCATTTGACGCGCCTTTTAAAAACGTGTGCAATGTGCATATTACCGTATTACAAATATAAAAAAGAAAAAAAGTCGGATATTTATTAGCTAAGGTGTTTTAATAAAAAAAACGTTACTTTATCGAATAAAAAAGGAATAACAAAATTTGGAGCATAAATATCAGTATAAAAGACGTTTTTGGACAGTCAAAAATGTGTTAATACTTGGAATTTTTTCAAAAATCAATTAATAAATATAATATTCACATAATAATTATTATTTGTCAATTAAAAAATTATTTTTATTTAACTATTTTTGTCAATTAAATCACTTTTATTTTATTTATATGATAAACAGTACAAATATAAAAAGAAACAATATAAAATAATCAAAGCAGTTAGAACCTAATCTCCGTGTACTTCAGACAAAAAATTGAATAATTATTTTTTAAATTTAATAATGTTCATAAAGATTGTAACGATCATACCTATTTAAGTTGAAAAAAGTGATACAAAATTGTTAAAGAAATAATTGTTTATAAAAAAGAGAAAAGACATATGTTTGTTTTCATTTTAAAAATTTTTTTACGTTAGCAGTTAGAGCCATCTTTTGGGAATTTTACATAATATAGAAACGCAAATCGATAAACTGACTTTTCTGTGCTCAACGGTATCAAAATTGTGAATCTTGGAATTATCAACGGTAGGTAAATTGATTTTGTCAAAAATTTTCAACTCCTGATAAGCAATAAAATGTAATTTAGTAAAAGTTTATTAACTAGATGTCCCTCATACATCGAAACAGAGGTGTCCTCTTACAGAAGAAGCAAAAGTAAACTTGAATTCAAATTGAAACACGATTCAACAATCAGTTAGATATATAATTATTGTAAATTCTTCTTTTCTTTTATTCTTTATTTTTAATATAGTTTCCTTTCATTTCCGAAATTTTGTAAAGGATAATAATTTCCTTTTTTAAAAATTTATTTTAATTAGTGTACATCGACTTTTATTAGCTACTAATAATTAATTATCCCTTAAACGAGAATTAATTTAATTTAATGACAACGTTTCGTAATATTATAATTGAGGGATAGAAATACTTCAAGTTTGAGGAAGTATTATTTTGTAAGTATATAATAATGTATGCTTCTTTGAAGGGCAGTATGATAAGAATAATAGTTGATGATGGTTGTGTTGGAAGATAGAGGAGTTGATAATGCCATTAAATCTTGAAGATATAAAAATTCCAGTTAGGAACATTAAGGTTGTATTAACGTTAAAGAAAAAAAAAGTTGCACTGAAAAACAAATGCCTCAGGATAGTATGAGGATTTTTTTATAAATTGAAATGCAGAGAGTAGAGAAAAAGTCTGCTTAACGCCTCCCGTTCTATCTCCAAGGGACTGGGAATTCAATTAAAATAGTAGCTAATTACTACATCCTGAAATCCCTTAAATAAGTTTCCTTCATGAAGTTCCAAACAAGCTTTTTTCACTGTTGATCATATTTTTTTTATATAGAAATTATTAAAAACAATTTATTCAATACCATTATTTTTTAATAAATCAACTAATGTATTCATAAATTTAAATCACGATAAGTATTAAAAGGATAGGAACTTCAAAATATAAATCTTTAATTATATTATTTAATTTAGCTTTATGGAAATTGTACATAAAATAATTTATAAAATGTTCGAATCGAGTTGGTAGTAATTATTTATTTCCGGAAATCTGTTCAGAATCCTTCTGAGTTAACAGCAAACAGAGAGAACCATTGCAACAATATCCAGACAAAGAAGTGAGTTCAACAATAAAGGTAAAGGAATATCTTATGTCTCTCTTCTTGGGTAGAAAAGAGATAAACCTTTACAAGGTTTTATATGGATCCCTTTTACTTTATGTCTTGCCAAAAGAAGAAGAAAAACTGATCTTCTACATAAAGAGAAACATGACTATATCATAGCTGGTGGTTTACAGTCAGGTTCAGAAAAATTCTTTCTATGATGAATATCTACTATATATTTGATTCATTTAATTCTCTACAACACTAGACAAGAAAAGTTTTCAATTTTGAAAAAAATTCAAAACCTTTCGGTGAATTATACATATATTTAGGGAACGTTATCTCCAGGTTTCAGTAGACGTTCTCTTGATAAGTTTTCCTCAAGATATACTGGTGATGCTTCTATCCTGTATTAGAATGGTTCACACCCCCCTTTTTAACGTTCAACTGAGAGAGAAGGACTCAACTTTGGCTTCCAAAATTAGGGTGAAAAATATATAGCACGACAATAAAATTTTACCTATTCTCTTACGAAAATTCAGTATAAAAGGACTACATTTTCACGGAGAGACCAGTTCTGAAATCTTCTTCATACGTATAACATCAAGCTCATTTTTGGTACCAGTCGACGTCTTCTAGTTCAAGTGCTTAATTTTCTTATACGAAAGTTAAAAGCAAGTGTCAAAACCCTCTACATTAAACGAGGATCTTTACTTCTCATTATATTGGGCAATTATCCATTCTTCCTTCATTTGGAAGCGACTCATTATTGGGAGTTTCATCACGCCTAATAGAACTCCGGACCTGCGGTTATACCTAGGCCCGTCAACCTTCCTGACGTCATAAACTCACGGTGGTACCAGCTCTTTTCCTGTGACAACAAAGGACACAGCAGTGGTCCTTTTTCTTTCAACACACCTAGTACTGAATTTTAAGGTAAGTGTTTTATATTCTTACTCCTAACTTTTCTGAACTTGTCGTTTATTTGTAGTAACCCTAGCATTCCTTATTTCAGTTGAATGCTGAACTCTTTTTCCTGGATTGGTTGGTTTGAGATTCCCTCTCTCTCATAAGAACGAACTGTTGTAACTAAAAATACTTGTCTAAATAAATTGTAACCTAATTATAAAATTAATCACTATTCTCTTTCTTTCCTGTACCGTTAGTTCAGAGCCATCTGCTCTATAAATGAAACAGGAATTCACTGAATCACCGAGCGGCCATA